TTTGGGGTTGAGGGTGTTTTCTTGGGGTTTTGTTCTTTCTTTCTTTCTTTTTTTTTTGCTTCATATCCATGCGATTTAATATCTTATTGTACAATTTAAGTATGAGACTTGAAGACCATCGCAAAGTACGTCACCTAGGGAGAATGGCAAGTTGATCGAAACAATCAATCATCATTTTCATCTTTCTTACCATCTGAATCCCTCTTCCTCTCATGCTTCCCCCGTTCTGACTTCAAGACTTCCGTCACACGCTTGTCCTGCTCATCGGCCCGCTCATTCCACTCAGCATCATACTCAGCCGCGATATTTTTAATTTCCCCACGAAGCGAGTTCGCCTCATCAATCAAAGACTCCCAAAGATGCAGATCAACCTGATGCAACTGATACAGCTTCTTCTGCCTCGCACTGATCGTAAAATCCAGCGCCGACTTGTAAGAAATCTCCCGATTGTGATACAAAAACCACAAATAACCCCCCATCAAAGTAGACAAACTGACCAAGTAAGTCACTGGCTCCATAGTATCCCAGCCGAGATCAGTCTCGAAAGTCAATCTGTAAACCGTAAACCACCAAATAGAAAGAATCCCAAACCCGCCAATCGCAACCCGCTGCGCACCCCGATGCGCCAGCGCATCGCACTCCTCTTTCACATTCGCCATGGCCTGGATGCGTCGCGAGAGCTTGCGCAATCGCATGCGCAGGTAATACGTGCGCTCGTTGAACGACGGCACTGTGACGCGGAGCTGGCTCAGACCAGACGGCGCGCCTTCGATCGTCACTATGAACTCGCCTGCGCGCGCCGCATCCCGGATGAAGTCGCCTATCTCTGTGGCTAGTGACCAGCGCACGATGCGCTCGGGTTCGCCGTCTCGGGGTGGGGTGCCGCTCGTTTTGCGTGGGTAGCTGTAGGTTTCTACGTCTTCGTCTCGGGACCGGCGGTGCTGGGTGGGTGATCGGCCGTTGAGGGGTTTGCTGCCGCCGACGCCGTCGTTTCCGGGGACGAAATCTGTTTCTTTGGTTTGGTTTGGTTTTCTTTGTAGGTCGATCTCGTCTTCGATTCGCTTTTTCGGCTTGATTGCGTTGTCATCGCGCTGGAGTGCGATGAAGGATATGGCTGGCGGGCGAAGATTGCCGGTTTTGCCTTTGATCGGGGGCAGTTCTGACTGGATTAGACGCTCTAGGTATGATAGTGGTTGTTGAGGATGGACTAGGATGGCTATGGGTGCAATTTCTGATTTGGCTGTTAGAATGATGGCCGGAATATGTTTAAGATTAACATACCTTGATCATGGTCTTCATTTACGATGGTTGTTAAAGGGATGATCAATTTGAAAAGCCGCGATGGCGTCGTCAACATTTTACCTATCTCCAAAAGTCAGCATTGATACTTGAAATCGATCATAGCAGCACCTCCTTACCTTCGGTCATCCTTTCAGACCACTTCTCTCCTTCCGTCGGAGACTTTCCCTCTTTGCCATCCTCCCTAAGAGCTGTCCGCTGGGACCGCGCTTCTTGATTGCTCTCCTGGACTTCGAACTTCTCCAAAAGCTCTTCGGTCTTCTGTTTATTGCCTGAGACTTGTGTATGATCTGCACTGCTGAATTTCCTCGCCTGAATCTGAACCCAGGCAAGATGATTCGGTGGAACTGCAGCCAGCCCAGCATATCCCGGCTTCGTTACCGGTGATGCATCGGAAGCTCCGAGGCCAATACCTCTGTCGAGACACCTCCCCGAAAATGAACGGATTTGGCTAATTAAACCGACAGAGCAGTTTCCAGTCCAGCCATTTAGCCCCGCCGAGCCAACCTTCCCTAACGAGGCGTACGGGGCACCACATTGTGATATCGTCCCCGTCGCCGCCGACACGATAGGGGTGCAATTCCGTGCCGGGAGATGCATTTTGAAAAGGAGGATCTTTTGGTCTTTTCAATTGGTTATTGTGTATGTTCATGCCGCATGTAAAATGAGTGGGAATATGTAGACTCGTAGGAATTGAATAAGGTTGTATTCGCGTAGGAGACTCAAGGCATGACGAAGCGGCGTTTTCGAGCTCACGTGTGGAGAGTGGGAAAGATGATGTAGAAAGCCAAGAGTCGTTCAAACAAACAAGATAGCCAGGATAATCCATGCAAAAAACACAGCTCACTTTTTGTCAAGTTGGCTTCCTTGGAATATCCTGACGTCAGACGTGCATGGATCGAATCGGTCTCGGCGCTTTGGGTGTGGGCTCGGTTTGTGGCAGTGCTGGATCTATATCCCATTATACCTTGTCATGTCTTTTTAGATACGTTTCTTTTATAGATACCTTTTCTTATTAGGGTTGTAGCTGGGAGGCCGCGCAATGTAGAATATAGCAGTGGACAAGGTGTAACACGTGATTGGTCCACATAGTATGCTGGAATGCAATATGATATGATATTTCAATACTTGGATTAGAATCTACGTAGAGTAACCAGCAATCTCAGAGTTCGCGCATAATATCTTGCACGGCCTTTGCAGCGAATCGTTTCCGTTCGCCCTCCGGCAGCTCGGAGCTCATATCTAATAGTCAAGTTAGTACCAATGTCAACTATAGCGAGCCCGAGAAATCAACGCAGAATCGCACCTTTGATTGCCTGCATGCGCATCATTAGTGCCTCCATGCTTTCGACATCAATCTCATCCTCGCCATTATCATGATCGGAGTCATCTCTCTCATCGCCATCACCACCTCCACGCTCAATTGCCATACGCAAACCGAACATTTCGCGCTCTAATTCATGAACCTCATCACCGAACCCACGAGAACCGCCAAGACCTAATAGGTGATCTTGAAGATCATCCTCAGAATCCATATCAGGATCATCATCTCCGTTAAAGCCAGTGCCACCTCCAACCATAGACCAGTCATGAGTCTCAAGGACCTCTTTGATACGAGGCATACCTTCACGTTCTAGTAATTCCATGAAGTCAGCTAAAATCCAAAACCTTACCACCCAACCTAATAAAGAAGAGCTTGCTTCAGTAAACTCACCCCCATACTGATTTCTCGTCTCAATCTCTGAACTCTCCTTAGGATCCCACTCAACAACCTCCCAACCTAACAACCCCATATCAAAAAATTGATCCTCCCACCACCCAACCGAAAACGGCACCGTCTCCCCACCACCTAAATCCCCATCATCAACACCAAGCCCCAGGTCCGCATCGGGATCCTTGGATCTCTGCTGACCCGCAGCAACGCCCGCACCACCCTTCCTCCCCCCGATCAACACGAACACACCAGGAACATCACCGAGCCCACCGCGCTCCTCATCAATGCACTCCTTGACAGCACCAATGCCGCGCATCAAGTCACGCAGTGCGCGCACGTCGGGCCGCTCCGCGGGGTCTGTGTTTGCATTGGAGCCCGGCGGAGGTGTCACATCGCTAGGAGTATGCACACAAACAACCAGAGCTCCAACAGCTTCGCGAACGATCTCGGCTTCCGTGCTTAGGAAGTCGGTTTTCCATTGCTCGGCTGTTGGTGTTGGTGTTGGTGTTGGGGTAGGTTTTGCATCTGCGTCGTGGATCGCGAGTGGGATCTCGTCGACCCAGACGGGGACTTCTGTTGTGTAGTATTTTGTTTCAAGGCGGAGAGGGCTGTGGGTTGTGTAGCCGGCGAAGGTGCTTGTTGGTGGTGGGGTTGTTGAGCTTGATGTTGGTTGTGGCGGGGTTGTCGCTGGTGAAGGGGCTGGCTGCTGTGGCGGGTCGAGGACGGGCACGCCAGTTAGGGAGTGTAGGAGCGGGGGTATTATTGCGAGGGATTGGGAGGTTGGTGTGAGGATTAGGAGGCGACGTGGGTTGGAGATATTCTTCACTTTTGGCTTCGCGGAGCTTGCGGGGTTGGATGCGGGCGCTGAATAGGTCATGATGGCGGTCTTTCTGGGGGCAATTGGGGGTTTGAGACGCTTGTTAGAAATTTGAGTCAGATAGGGCCTAGTTCAGTCCATTGATAGTGTTTTGTGGGAGAAGGTAGTGTATTGAGGAGGCTAACAGTCCCCCGCATGAACAAAAAACAAGTGGATATAATGACCGGATAATGTCTGGCTCGAAACTTTCCATTTTGGTACTCTGGTCTTGCCGCTTTTTGATCTCAGAGTGAAATTGAGCACGACTTGATCACGGGATATTAAGTAATCAAATTGTCTTTCCAAGGTCGTTTCGAGATCGTTGTCAAGAGGGCAGAAAATAATAGTATAGACTAAGAACGCTGTCATTGGCGCTTTTTAGTCTATGTACTGGTATATCTTCTCGAAAATCCTGGTTGTCGAATGCGCACACACCCATAATGCGAACTTATCTGCACTGTTCGCATACCCTTCCCATGCGAGGTATATTGCCTTGATGCATTGGATACAGCTAATTGGATATTCTACGCCACCGTTTCTAGGCCTGTCACCTTGGCTTCGGTATTTATTCTGGAGGAGACTATCAAGTGATACGACCCCTGTTCTAAGGTGAACAGTAAGCCCGCGGGATCCCGCACAACAAGTACTACGAAAGCTTAGGCAGTGTCCACGGGTTTTGTTTGTATAAACTTCTATCATTCTATTGTTTCAATGACCTCAATCCAGTATCTATTTAACAGTCTTCTTCTGCACTCGTAGATTCATGCTTTCCAGCAACGCTCAGCACGTGAGATCTGCCGAGTTTCAAGCATTAATCTGCACCGACGTTGACAGCAAACCTGCTGTATTTGCGAATTCTCGGCCCATACACATAAAGCAAGTACGGAATCACTGCCATGACGGTACTGATGGCCCCCAAGATGGTCAGCGTGTAATGAACGCCGATAGAACGGTAAATAGGACCACCAGCGACCGTCATACCGCCTGCCACCACATATCTAGTAAAAACAAGGAACCCCAATGCAGATGCTGAGTATACACCATAGGAATCTATGATATACATATAGGCCGAGATAAAAATACCAGTGATTCCGTACCCGAATAAGGCGGAGGCAATGAGAGAAGACCAAATTGAGATAGACGGCTGAACATCCAGAGCGAAAGTCAGTGAATGGAACTGATGAACCAATGATGGGAAATGGTACTTACATAGCTGGTCCAACCCATCCAGAACAAACTTATTGGCACTGCTGGAGCAGCACCCAGCATTGTATACCACAGGCGCATTTCAGGAGCAATCCTAGAAGTCTTCTTGTACTCTTTGGCAGTCCAAGAGTATACCACTGGAACCAGGCAGCCAACAAGAAGAATTCCACATAGCATCCCTACCCAGAGTACGCTAGTCATCTGCTGTGAAAGCCCATATGTATGACCAAAAACGTAGGTATACCCCTCCAGAAAGGTGAAGAGGACAATATAGACAACGGTAAGGTAGAGCGACATCAAGATGATAATCAACTCAGAGTAAACCAGCGCAAATGGTCGATATACCGAGGCCAGGAGACGCGGGCCCAGAGCTTCGTTTTTCATCTCCATCGGAGCTTTGTATCTCTCGTCCCCAGTTTCTTCGCGCAGAATCTTTGCTTTCCAATACAGAAGGAGAGGTCCGTATGTTTCTGGCTGGAACAGAAGAACAACGACAAGAATCGCGCCTCCCATAATAAGCATAATCCACTCAAGCCAGCGCCATCCCACATTAATAGGAATATAGCTGCCAATTATCTGCCCAGCCATCGGTCCAATAAATGATGGGATAGCATAGGCTGGAAAAGCGTACGTCTTTTGCACTGGATTCCACAGATCAGCTACCGTACCACCAGCGCAGCTGAGTGGAGTAGACCCAAAGAAACCAGCAAGAAAACGAAAGACAAGGTGGCTCTGGATGTTTGGGGCAAGTCCCGCGGCCATGATAAAAATCAGAAAAAGGATCATAGTTATCAGGTAGACGGCATTCCGGCCAAACGTCTCGGAGAATGGGCCTGAGAGGAGAGAGCCAGTCCCAAAACCGACCAAAAACAGAGCTGTTGGCACTGTTAGCTTGTGCAAAAGTGATAATAATTTTAAAGGCCTGTACTTACCTGTCGCAAGAGATCCGACTACTTCGGATACGTTGAAGTCTTCACTGTATTGTACGATACCGCAAGCATCAATCGCAGATGCAGCGGTTACGGAAAAAGCAAGTAAAGAGACCAGAAAGGTCATAAACAACTTCCGCGACACGCTCTGGCTTGCAGGATTCAGAGGATCATTGTGACTATCCCAGTCCACAATGATGAGGGAATCGGTGGGAGGTTTTGCCTGGAGCGAGAACTGCTTCCGCGCAACAGGAAGCCCAGCATTGCGTGATTGACAGCTGGATAATTGACTATGAGCGTTGCTTAGGATATATATTTTCGAAAAGCTTCGTTGAGCTATCACTTACCTCGAGCTGTGTGGTGACCCAGGTGTATAGTTCTCGCAACTGCACTTTTCTTTGATTTCCGCTAGTTGCTCGCGAACAGATTGTCGGATACGTCGATATTGAAAGAGAGATTCCATCGCAGTGAACTATCTGGAGACCGGCAATGAATATTGTGGAAGGGAAAGAACCAGGTAGTTTGCGATTATATAGCCATAGGAATTTTAAATGCATTGAGCTGTAAAGATACCGGATTCAAGTACCTTTTTTCAATGATAAGTGTCGATCATGGCCGAGCTCTGCTGATAAATTCATTGTGTCCACTTCACCGTGAGTATTTATCAGCCAAGTCCGAATTTGATCTTCGCCGCATCGGACATGGGTGGGAACCAGCCCTACTTAGTAGTTTCGTCCGAATCGTATCGGACTTTCATGACCCACAACTTCTCCGTCTGATCAAGCCCCTGATGATATTACAAGGCAAACAGTTGCTGCTGTGGAGGCTACGACGCTCAGCAAATATTCGAAAAGGAATGATGATATCTGATCTCCGATTGAGTCTGGCATGTTGGTTGTATTTAGCTCACCAAGAGCTCCCTTTCGCATTTTCTCAACGATACGGCTAAGGCATAGTTTGAAGTGAAGACCGATAGGTCAAATCTGATATCTTGAAGTCAATCAAGCATGATCATATATCATCTCGCATCATCCAGCGGTGGTACACAGCAAAGGAATGTGCAAGAACACGCACTTAGTACTTCGCGATCAGTTGCACGTTGCTACTTAAATTGTCTCTGCCCATTGAAGAGCATTCGAACTAGAATATAATTTCGTCATTTTAACGACCACTCAGCGTATGGACAAGTTTAACCATTTGAAAATCGCCAGAGATGTTTTCCAATTAAAGGAGACATTAAACTGCAGGAAGATTGCCAACGTTATCCAAGTTCTGAACAAGTTAGTCTAGATTCAAGAAATCACAGATTGCATATCTTACCCAGTTGAAAAGATCCGGCCCAAACCATTCCCGCATATCAGTCCAGTCTTCAATTGTGCTCTCGAACCGACTTTCCGAATTCGGTAGTTGCTGGTTTTCTGCGCCAAACGGGGCTCTGGAAAACGTCAATCACAGAACTTCTTATCACGATGAGATATAACCTACTGTAATTGAAGAAGAATGCGATGCGCCTTCAAACAGATAGCACTTCGATGAGAAAGGTTCTCCATTCGAAGGACGAGTTTGTTCAACTCCTGCCGGTACGGGCCTGACTCAAAAGACAATGGCATATCTAGAAGGCACGAGTTGAGCGCCACAGCAGCGTGAAGTGCCTCTAAGCTTGTAACGCCCCTGAGCAACCAGAGATATGGTCGAAGCAGTGGAACTTCGTAGATATGACGATGGATGCCTATTAAGGCAGCACTGGAAGCTATACACCTCTCTCTGGATGTGGCAAGGAAGCATGGTGACCGAGAATGGCGAAAAGGACGATGTAGTAGAAGGTAAAGCTGGTGTGCATAGGTTTGTAGAATGCACCAATATGCGTAACTCGAATCCAATATGTTTGGGACACCATCCACTAAATAGGTCGAGTCCCATCTCCGTTGTTCCTCGGCGATTGTCGCATCAAACTCCTTCAATGGCTCTACCTCAAATCGTGAGGGACCAGATATGTGGTGACAGATCTGAGTGGAGATCCGGAAAAGCCGAACTTTAAACATCATCATGGACATCTGCGTGGGTGCACTAGATGGCCGCGAGATGCCCTCTTGGGTGATATCAGCATCATTGACATCGGCGGGCATTGTGGTTTTTATATCAAGAAGGAATGACATGTCGATATCCCGAAAGAGAATAGCTTGGTAGGTATGTAATGTCAATATACCAACCCAGCAGCGTCGACGTCTCTCAGTCTCAAGATGGTCAAGTCCCTGAGAATCAACATTGCACCGTAGGGCTATGCCGATGTTTAAGGCCATACCTAACAAGGCCCACCCTTGATCGACAGACTCGTTATGAGAAAGGTTATATATCACCATCAGCAAAGCCTCGAATGTGCTGAGTTTATGTCGGATAAAGAATTGATCTTGTAAAAGACAAACCATGGCAGTTTGCTGAAGCCGACGGGACAAAGTCACAGCCTCTTGCTCCTTGGAATGTGACCCCTTTGGCCATAAACCAACCAGTCTAGGGTCACTCGGCTCGATAGTATTCAATGTCAAAGAGCACATAGAAAAAAATAAAGCCAGCCAAGAGAGGTCAACTTGGTAGGGCTGTTGCATGAAGGCAACATACTGCTTCTGGAATGTTGGGCCATGGAGAATGGGGAACAGAGCAGAGATATGATTGAAAAAATGAGAAACCAGACAGTCGCAGATGGTTCTAGAGGGTAAGATATCAATAATATCTTGAAGCGAAATACTCGGGCCAATCGAAAAGGGAGACAAAGTGTCAGTTGCTGCGACAGGATCGTGTTCTGGAAACGGCCGTTGAAGAACCGCTTCCCAGCGGTTATCCTGGGAATCTTGAATTTCACCGGGTCCCGACCGCTCAAGTCTATCAGCCGAACCACTAGCAACAGGTTGTCTCAATGGGGCCAAGGGAGCGGCGAACGTGTTCCTGGGTGTCACATTTGACGATGAAGGACTGAACGTTGCTGGATGAAGATTAATGGACCCAGTCGCGACACTGGGGGTGGTCAAGAATGAGCACGACAGCTCCCACCCTCGCCGCGTACATGCACCGCAAGGCTGTTTACGATCACACTTTAATTTGGAGCATCGGCAATGCTCGCAACTAAGCACTTTTCGCTTTCGGCGATGGGATGTAGGGGTTTGCGCTCGACCCCGACCTCGCCCGTGGTTGGTTGAGGAGCTTTGACTCATTGTATTGCAGACTTCACCTCGTACACGGAGTTGGAAGTCCGATACGGATCGTTGTGAAGATAAATTGACAAAGGTTGGAGTTTAGATGGTTCGGAGAACACTGAGCATCTCCGATACTTGGTGGGTACTAAGCTTTTGGGGCTCGGAGTTCGTCGGACTTAGATTATCGGAGTTTGTACAAGCGCTATATTTTCTGTAAAGGACTATGGTTATATTGAGGCTAGGTATACAAGCGATACTTCAGTGCTCGCACTATGTGTAATCCAAATATAGTACGGGCCAGTTTCGGTTATATACTATATATGCTTACTTCGGATTAGGTATATGCCCAGGTGAAGGTATGCAGAGTTATAGATTTGGGTCCTATGTAGTGCTACGGTAGGCCACTAATTTTTGGCTAAGCAGGCCGACTAGTAATACAGCTCTTGTCTATGAAGATAAGATAGTCCGAGAAGCTGCTATTGCTATTTGGGGTTTCTGTGCTGCTCTTGACTCTTCGCTGCTTGTAGGGGACAGACACATGACAGAACTGAGTACGAACACTGTGCTCAGATTTACTCAGCCTGACTGCCCTCATAAAAGCGGCGGCAGCTCATACGTACATGGTATTGTCCACGCCATCGGAATTGCCAAACCCATGGCCAATCGGTGTTTTCATCTTTTGCTTATAGACGTTAACCAGCTAGATTACATCTGTAGATACGAAATTCTTGCTATGCATGATATGTTCCCCGGACATGAGCCGCCATCCCAGCCATTGAATCATTATCAATACGCGATAGGGCTCCGTGAGCTGAGCATACAGACACACGTTTAACCTATGGAACCAGGATATTCATGTTCGGGTATTGATTCATAATTTTGAATGGTGATCTGACGGAGCACCTACAAGAAGAAATGCGAGCCGATATTTTAAGACTTCGCAAGATCAAAGCCCGAAAAATAAATAAGAACCAAGAAAACAAAGAAAAACGCCAACCACTCTTGAATTTGTGAGGCCTTGAACTGCGATTTCATCTCTTCACGTATCATGTTTAACCCCGGCCGCGCTGGCCACGCGCACGCTGCACTGTAGCTTTACCACGCGCCAAACCGACACCGCGCCCGCGCTGGCCTCGTGTACGGAACATGGGAGCATTCCTGGAAAAAAAGCAGAAGCTAGTCAGTAAAGGTGAAAATGGAGATGCGTAGTTCGCGAACTTGCGACCCAAAGGCTGGATCTTAGGGCTCAACGTACCGGAGCATGTCAGGCACGATGAAGAATCGCACGTGGCTGCCGCGTATGTAGACCTGGTCGAGGTGGGAGACACGGCCATCGCGGGCAGTGACGGTGATGTCCTTGAGCTGAACGTTCATGTTGTCCTCGGCTGTAGGGAAAATCAGTCAGTATGAAACCGCGCGAAAGCAAAACAACCGAAGCTCGTTTATAGACCGCCTCTCTAAACAGAGAGCAGACGCCCAAAACCTCGAGGAGAGATGAGCGACGTACCTTCCAAAAGCTTCCCCCGGTAGACGACTCCTGATGTGATCTCAATCGTCACGACATGGCCCTATTGGAAAAGGATATTAGCCCCTCTGCCTCGCGCTGTCCATGACTATATCCATTTTCGTAGTATCATGCATGCGTCCTGCCTTTCCATCCAATAATCGGAATAGCAGCATCAGGGAATGTAACGCACCTGCGCTTCGTTGAGGAGCTTGATCGGGATGCCGATAGTGGAGGTGAGCTTGCCCATTTTGACTGTGTGACGGCGAACGATGATGGAAAACGGTTAAAAGAAGTCGAAAAGAAACAATGACAGCTCTTCACTCGCCCAAAAAAGGAACAATTCAAGGCAATGGGCGGCCGTGGGAGATGGTGGGACAGTGATGAGGTCGGAGTAAGTGGAGGTTAAGAGAAAGGTGAGTTTTGCGGCTAAGCTCATCCTCTCCGCTTTGGGTTCTCTCTCAATCCCGACCAAACAACAACTCCAGTCTCAAAAGGCACAAAAACGCTCCCACATAATGCGCGTCCAATAGCCCTGTCTATACCTCTCATAATTCTACATAATCGAAAACCAACCATGATGGCTGGCTCACCCAATTCTAATCTACGCGGCTTCAACCACGCCGTCCAAACCCTCCTCAAACAACCAACCCAATTCCTCCCACACCTCACAATCCCTACCTTCACGCACCTCCCCGAGAACCTAGGACCACATCTGATCAGCGCAAAGAAGGGACCCCAAGCACAAATACCAACACCTGAAAAAGCCCCACACACACCCACAATCCGCGCCCTAGTCCTCGACAAAGACAATACGCTCTGCGCAGCGAAAACAACCTCCTTCCCACCGCAGATCCTCGCCAAACTCTCCTCGCTCCGCGCCTCACAAACATCTCCCTTCAACCAAACCACAAACCCGCACTCCATCCTGATCGTCTCGAACCGCGCCGGCAGTCACCCGCGTTTCGACGGCGAAATCTCTGAGCTGGAAGCGCAGCTTGCGCATCTGCGCATTCCCGTCTTCCGGCTGCCAGAGGGCACGGAAAAGAAGCCGTTTTGTGGTGAGGAGGTTGTCAAGTGGTTTCGGGAGAGGGGGGTTATTGATTCTCCGCATGAGATTGCTGTTGTTGGGGATCGGCTTGGGACCGATGTGCTTATGGCAGGGATGATGGGGTCGTGGAGTGTCTGGTGTAAAGAGGGGGTGTTTGAGGTTGGGATGGAGGGGAAGCCGGAGCGGGGTGTTTTGGAAAAGATGGAGGTTTGGATTGAATGGTTCCTTAGGGAGAAGGGAGGGTATTCGGCACCCTTGCCGATGGGGTGGGAGAAGCACAAGCGGTCGTGAGGCATGTGCTGCTTGGTTGATATAAGAAATTTGAGATACCCTTGTATAATAATGCGTGCCGGTCGTACGTGGTTAGCATTGTACAGTACCTAGGTATATAGTGAGACTGAACTATAGCTACAATATCGAATCTACACGGAGTTGTATGCGATACAAAATGAATTGATTCAGAGCTTAGCGTCAATCCCCCACACTCGTATACCGCCAGCTCAGCGCAGTCCTACTTGTATCGGGCAGAAGATATCACACCTGCGCAGCCCAGAGGATCAGCGTTGGTTGGATGTCAGACCCAAACAGGTGCCGACAGAACAAGCTCATGTGCAAAAATTCGACTCCAGACCCATGATAGGGAAATTGGACCATTGTACCCACACTGAGGGTGCAGGTAGACGCAGGTCTAGCACCAGCCTCGAAGACTCACAGAAAAGAGAACAAAAAGAAAACGGAGGGGAATGGAGTCGCAGTGCAAGTCGGTCTGTTTGGCATAACCACGTAAAAGAGAAATTGAAAATGAGAAATTGAAAATTGCAAGATGAGAAAAAAATGAGAAAAATCCTGGTCATAAATCGGAAGAAAATGAAGAATGGTAAATTGACCGGGAGAAAAGAAGAAAAAAAGGTCGCTGTATTCAACCGGGGACAGCCGGGAAAACAGGAACAAAAAGAACAAAATCGCTTAGGACCGGCCCCAGAATAGAAAGGGTATAATCAAGACAACAAGACACAAGGGTATGTCACGCAAGAAACACATCAAAAGGTAAAATCGCTTCCCTGGCTATCGCCAGCGAGACGAGAATCATCCAAAAAGAGCCGTGGCAAGCAGAGAGGACCTGCAAGCACCGAAATCCAGCACCTAGCCACAGCTCTTGATATTGGAGGATTAAGAAATTCCCCCAAGGGAAAAAACCCCGAATAACCCATCGCAAGCATAAGCGCCGCATGCACAGAGAAGGCCGTGAAACATCAAGAGACAAAGGAGACACACAAACTCAAAACCCCCGAGGCACCCACTCATGACCCAGTTGGCATACCCTGCGAGTTGATCTCATCTAGGTTAGCCATACCGTGGGAGTAATCGCCCATGCCGGGAGAAGGGTGGGCAGAGAGGCCGTGCATGGGCAGTTCGAAGCTGGGGCTTTCGTGCGAAACGCCAAAGTTGACCTGGTGCTTCGAGTACATATCGTCCATCGAGAGACCGTCATCGAAGCCGGTCTGCTGGTCGTGCGAGAAACCGTACATCTCGGACGAGGCGTGGGACATGTTGGACAGTGGAGGCGAGTGGCTTGCAATCAGCGGGTCTGCAGGGCTCATGCTAGAATAAGGAGACGGTGCGTGTGAGCCCATTGTCGAGGCATCGGTCGATCCTCCCGAGACAAAGGGCACATTGAACTGAGGCGCCATGTTGGCGACTGGAGTCGACTCGCCTTGACCGGCGTTGCTGTACATTGGACTGGCGAAGTCGGGAGGCGACCCGGTGGTCGTCGCCGACATGGGGTTGGTGCGGAAATCCAGGCCATATCCTTGGGTGTCGATGCGGAGGTCGGTGGGGAGATGGTGCACTGACTGCGGAACGGGTGCGTAGATACCTGCCTCGGTGTGGTTGAATGGGGGTGGAGGGGGTGGCACGTGGAAAGAAGACATGGGACTCTGGAATGACGAGAGGTCAACTGCAACAGGTACTGAACGGCTTCGCTGGCGCTTGTGGCCACGAGCAGCTGGCATGTTGAAGCCCAGGTGGTTGCTGTCCTGGTATAGGTTCATGTAAGTAGGAGCAGCAAACTGGTTGGGCTGAGATGCAGGACGCTGGATGAAAGGGGGAGACATCGTAGGTGGCACAGCAAAGCTGCTGTTGTTATAAGCTAGGCGATTCTGGAAGGACTCCAAGGACACAAGCTTGGCAAGCTGAACGCTCAAGACCTTGGGATGGCCTCCCAGGTGATGAACCATGATCTGACTAGCCTGCTGCTCCTCAGTGAAATCCCCGCACTGGTAGAAACCTCCAGAGTTGGACGAGTCCATGTAAAAGTGCGGCGGGCGGTTCAGTTCCACGACAAGACCACCTGGTCGAGGTGGTTCCCCATTCGGCCCTGGGTTCGGATCACCGGTTTCTAAGGTGATGTTTTTGATATAGGCGAACGGATACTCGATCTTATAGCCGGCAGCATCATTGTTGATATAGTAAGTCATGCATGCCTTATCAGGGGAGTAGAAAACGACCAAGTCCATGGCGTTTTGTCCAATGCGCCGCCAGCTGCCGACAGTCAAGGAACGACAGGTGAAGTGAGAAATCACTAGATACACCAATTAGTTTACCAGACGGTGGAGCAGATGAAGCCATCAACATACCAACTTTGCCAGAAGCGTTCGTCTCGTTTGAGTACATGCTAGGCGGCCCATATGCGCCAGCACGTCCAAAGGGGTCTCTTGCGCCAGGCTTGTTCTGGTCAAACTGCATCGCGAGATAGTGTCGCATGGATTCTGGGATAGAATCGCATCCTTCGCCAGTCTCAATGCTCTTTTTCGCCAGCATCTTGATTTTAGCACGACTATCCTGAGTCAGTAAAGATGAAGATAGAGACAAACCCGAATAGAACCTACCGATTTTGGAACCAGATTTGAACAGATCGCTCGGTCATATTAATGTCCGAAGCAATACGTTCCCTGGTAGCCGCAGTGGGTGTCGGGTTCTTGTTGAATTCGACTTCCAGAAGGACAAGCTGATCCTGAGTTGCGCGTTGACGTTTGTTGTTTTTCTGCTGTTGGGTAAGAGTGCTTTTGCGAGGAGGTCGGCGCGCAGCAGAAGAATGGGCCGTGGTAGCACTCGACGTAGACGGAGAGGGCGTGGAAGCTGGAGGCGAGGAGGACGATGCCGTGGGCGCAGTTGCGCCGGTTGGCGGGTAATGCATTTCTGTCAACGAAGACATAAGGTGACGTGGTACGGTAGAAAATATGTCCCACGTAACCGGAATTGTGTTCAAGGTGTTCAATACGCTTTTTTTTGGTTGTGTATATAGTTTTTGTTCGGAAAAAAAAGGTACAATGTGTGACGATCCGGCCGACAGATAAGGGGATGTGATTGTGGTGCGGAGACGGAGTGTTGGAAATGTTGATTCTCTCGAAACAGCCGCAGGCGCGAGAGGGTCAAGTTCAAGGCGTAAATGAATGGAAGTCTAGCGTAGGGATCGAATGGCGTTCGAAGGTATCCACGTCAGAGACTGGGGGGTTGGGTCGAAAGGGCGCGTCGCAGAGGCGTCCAAAAAGGAGCGGATAAATAAAAAGGCTGGCCTAAGCAGCTGGAAATGAATGGCAGGGGAATAATTTCTCCCTATGTCGACAAGAATCAATGAAGAATCAATGAAGATGTTTCGGCAAATGCTCAAATGCCCGGGTTGAATCGATCAACGGGGCGGGAACGGAGGGGGGCAACCGTTCTCGAGGAAACGAATGAATTGGGCAGAAATGAGTGATATAATGTCGCCGTGAAAGAATGGAACGGACGCAAAAAAAAAAGAAAAGAATGGAGGGAATGAGAAACACAAAAAGCGCAGGACAGAAAGCGGATCAGGAGATGGGAGATGCTGACTACACAACTGGCGATGGACAACGCACTGCGCCTTTCTGGACTATTGGCACCTCGTGGGGGGCCCCATTGTTTTTTTGGGTCAGGGCCTCGATTTGCCGGTCTTTTTTTAGTTCTCTTACGATTTTCGTTCTTTTTTCCCTTTTCTACAGGTTTGAACCAAAAGATCCATGTATGCTTTTTCCATTCGAGTCCAGTGTATGGAGTGTATGGAGTGGAGGGAAAACTGGTTTTGGCCCCTGCGTTTGCCTGCATAAGCCCAAGCAGCATCGCGGAGGCTTGGAGCAATAAGGGCGCAGACTGAACCTCCATTGTTTTCGAGAGGGGTACGCGTGCCACTCCCCTTACTCGGCGTCTATGTCTTCCTTGTCCAACTGTATCGGTGTGACTCTCTCGGCAAGTCTAGTTCAACAGAAACTAATGAACTACACAAACCTGATCGCCTGAATGCCGAACGGCATCCACGTGAGATCGGGGAATCTGAGACATTGTTAGCCCAGTGTGGTGTCAATGCGTCTGACAATGGGTTTGACGAATTAACGAGGACGGAGTGGATGGACGATGTGATTGAAGTTTTTTTCCCCTGGAGACGGTTTCCCCTGATTCGAGCCACAGTACGATTTGACCAAGGTTCCAGGGGCAAATCCAGTGGACTCGGCCAATAAGCATGCAGTTACACGTGCAGTTCCGTGGACCGCTAGAGGAGAAACATTCAGGTACCCGCCTCTGCATTGATTATAATTGGCTCTAGAGATATGACAGGTCATTCTAGACCCCGAACCCCGACCGGTATTGAATTTAGGGTGTAACTCTCCTTGAGACTTGTCTCCGTCACATCCGGTCTGATACTCCATTTAAGGGTATGGAGTACGGAGTATGCATTCATGCATCATATGATATGCTATAAATTCAATGTATACAACCTTGCAATAACTAATGTGTGAGGAAGTTGTCATCTTCAAGAACCCCGAATCTAATCTCCAAATCGGGGGCATTTAGCCTATTCCCAAAGCGATCTCGGTCTACTCCGTTCCGGAGCATCTTTCCTTTTGTTGTACATTATTTTGCTTTGGCGACTGCATGCAGTAACCTTCGAGTTTAATGACCCGACACAGGCAGCGCCTTATCTTCCATTGTTGACATGCGAGATCCCGGCATTCCCATCTAGGCAAATACCCCTAGGACAGTTCATTGTTTCAATATTGATCCGCGAACCGGTTCATCCATAGTTGGCCTAGGGGAAAGAGAACCCCCCTAAAAAATCCAAAAATATTAACTTCGTTAGAAGATGAAGAAACAAGCCCCTCTATCAAGCGCTTGTATATAACTATCCACAATTGACAATTCAATCCCCCTCGGCCAACCGGAGCCACTACCCAACTCCCGCAGCTTATCCGTAGTTTCCCAGATCTGCTCAATAAGCTCCATTGCCGAGTTCCGCTGTTGTTCCCTATAATAAGCCGTCATAGACTCATGCTTCTGTCGAACCCACATACGATGCTCAGGCGATAAAGCCTCCCTCGCAGCAATGTAAAACGGCTGAGGCAGCGACGAATCAGGCCCACACCCCGTCGACAGATGATCCATCAACCCAAAGCATACATGCACCAAATGCTGCACGCGCGGTGAACAGGTCTGGTCTCGAAAAACTCGACGGGCAAGCAGTAAATGCGCGGTCCAATAAAAGCACTCGGTGAGGATATCCAGAGGCGTGCGCTCACATCTCGCTGGTGGGATTCCATTGTATCCGGATCCCCAGGCGCGAAGCTCGGTGTCGAGTTGGAATGCTTTATTGAGAATGGCGCCTTCGTTCGTATTTGTTTCGAGTCCGTCGCTCACGTCGCAGGCTAGATGCGCTATTCGTACTAGGAAGCACATCAGTGGCTGTGGGCATCCTGTCATCTTGTGGAATGAGGGCTCGGTGGTGTCCCAGCGATTCTGGTCGGGCTGGTTGAGTATGAACTTTTGCGGTGCGTATGGCCTTCGCTGTCGTGAGATCGCTAGCATTACGTCAACCATGGCAAATCGCTGTACTGTCATACGTGCGATGGGATTCTGTGGTATTCCGTCGAAGTAGCCTAGCGCTTGCATGAGCCAAGAAGCACATTTGACGTGGGGCTCCAGTACGCCATCTGCTGTTTGTGCGACGACGATTCCCTGAAGGACGACGGCTGTGAGGAGTGCTTCTTGCTCGTGCTTGTTGCTAGTTGCGATTGTATCCGCGTCGCAGACGGCCCTGGCGTCGATACTGAGCAGGTTTTGTCCAAGCGTTCTGAGCATTCGCTGCTGGCGCTTGGCTGCGAGATCAATGCTGGTTAATCCAAAGTTCAGCATATGTTCTGTCGATATGCAGACAATGGTCTCGAGAAGAATTGGTGATGATAGAGCTGGGATGGAGACCTGCCGGTAAGGGTTGTCCGGTCCATCTACAGCGGGGACATTAGATGAAACGAGGCTTATATCTGTGCAAGTACTCTCGATTAGATATTCCACTTCCAATTACATAGAATGAGACCACCTACAGTATTCCCAGGCAGACTTTTCTTCTGCAGACTCAAAATATGTCTCCACAAAAAGTGCCGAAGGTCGACCTAGCATGTTTTGCTCAATTGCTCGACGCGTGTCTTTGCAGCGAGGCTTGTGTCTTGTTGGCATTGTCTCTTTTGGTTGGACCCATTTCACACCTGATGGATATTTGCAGTCCAAATCCCGCGAAGCACAAAGCGAGCAATCTGGCTGTTGCTCATCACATTTATTGTGCCTCTTTCGGCATTGCAGACATCCTTTTCCGCATTTATATTAGCGCGTTCATTTTGCCCTGGGATGGGCCTCCATACCAGTCCGTGACCGTGTGAACTTGTCGCCTCGAGGCATCTGGACGATCAAATAGATGCACTACTTACTAGTGGGAGATCGAGAAATAATCAGAGTAGTGGTGTTATACATCTCCGGGTATCAGTGTCGTTCCCCGCAGCCTTATTGACATATATGACGGTCACCTGATGTTCGACCAATCATATTATTTTCACAAGCGAACAATATATATTGGAATGACACTACTGGACTAGACCAAGTCTATAAGATATGCTAAGAATGAGGGGATCAATAGTCGCTAGAGTGAATACTTTTGAAATCGCTGGGAAGACGGCCTCCCGCCTACTATATTATGCCATTGATTATTGATTCACCTTATAGCAGCGGAAAAAGCATGCGTAAAGACTCGTTCATTCACATTAATTAAAAATTGAGGCGGTTTAACTAAGCTAATCGCGAGGAGGTACAATAGAGACACTGCAAATTTGTAGAGAACCCTCTATCCCAGAACCTCCTGAATAACCCGAACAGTTCGGTCGACTATCAAGTCAATCTCTTCACGGGTAGTATTGTAAGGCGGTGCCAGAATAATATGATCACCATTAGCACCATCGATACCACCACTACCCGGTATCACCGAAATCGCATGTCCAGGCTTGAGGCCTGTCGCGTGCAGAGTCCGAGAAATCGCCTTTGAAGGCGGATATGGCTCTTTCGTCTCTTTATCCTGAACAAATTCCATCTATAATCATATTAGTAAAGACCGAAAACAAAAAGAAGAAGAAACTAACAGCCCAGAATAAGCCCCTGCCACGAATATCACCAACATGAGGGTGACTATCCAAACGCTCGTGAAGACGCTGGCCCAGATATTCTCCCATTGCCCGCACATTCGGAAGCAGGTTGTCCTCTTGTATAATCTGCTGCACCCTATAAGCAGCTGCGCAGGCAACTGGGTGCCCCTGGTATGTCTGACTGTGGACAAACGCGCCAGTACCCTTGTTTAGAGTATCGACGACGTGCTTGTTGATGAGCAACCCGGCGATCGGGGCATAGCCGGCGCCGAGTCCCTTGGCGATTGTTTGGAGATCAGGGACGACGTTTTCTTGTTCCCAGGCATGGAGGGTTCCGGTGCGGCCCATGCCAGACATAACTTCGTCTAGGATGAAGAGTGCCCCGTGTCGCTTGCAGACGGCTTTTAGTGCTTTGAGGTAGCCCGGCAATGGGGGGACACAGCCAAGAGTCTATTAAAATAGTTAGCATGTTTAGAATGGCGCGATTGCTCCGTACTCACAGCACCTGGCATTGTCTCGGCGACGAATGCACAGACAGTGTTGGGGCCAAGTCTTTGGAATTCGTCCTCCAGTTCCTGGGCTAGCCTTGCGACGTATTGTTCGGTGCTTTCGTTGGTATTCATTCTGCGATAGGGGTAACATTGGGGAACGTGATGAATATTCTTCGAAAGAAGACTTTCGTAGATCCTCCGCCGGGAGGCGTGGTGTCCAACAGCAAGTGATCCGAGAGTATTTCCGTGGTAGGACGACTTTCGAGAAATGAAGTTTACCCGCTGGGGCTCAGGGACGGGGAGCTCAGTAAAATACTGAATGGCCATCTTCACAGCAGCCTCGACAGCTTCGGTACCTATTGCGATTTTAGTAACCAAATCTAGGTTCCCCATGGACAGGTTTCTTACCCGAGCTCACAATGTAAGCACGAGACATCTTGCCTCCAGTAGAGTCTACCAGAAGCTTTGCCAAACTCTCCGCAGCACTGTTGGTGAAAAACATGGAATAACAGTAGGGGATCTTCTTCAGCTGGTCCAAGATGGCTTCGTGGACACGCTCGTCGCTATGACCCAGACAGGAGACAGCTGCACCGCATGTCGCATCCAGAATTTCCAGACCATCTTCGGTTAGCAGGTAGCTGCCTCGACCACCGACAATGTTCAAGGGCTCGTCTCGCAACTGGTGGTAAAGGACTCCACTAGATACTTTGATGCCCGTGGAATCGGCCTGCTTCTCGGGTGAGGTAGGCACTGGAGCTGCTCCCACTTCTGGTGTATAGTCACCCATTGTATGGATTATGCCGAAGGGTTTGTGTGGAAAGAAAAGGAAGGAAATGAATCCAGTGGCTCACTGAAGATGTTTGATCTGAACTTGGGCTGGATATTGCTAGGGGAATGGGTGTCATATATAGACTCACCCCGCCATAGCCAAGAATTGAATTGCAGAAGTAGAACACTAATTCTTCGAAAATAGCCCATACATAACGCCGTGATTGGCAAGTCTCGCCTTGTCGCACACCTGGAAGTTCATACTTGGCCGCGATAAGCTAATCCCAAAGAGGAAATCTTTGTCGGACCCACATTCATCGACCACAGCGTGCATGTGATAGGTGGATAATTCATGAGATTGAGCTTATTGATAAGAAGAATGACTCCCATCGTTTGATTTCAATTGATCCCGTACCGGTTACACAGATGCATTAGAGATAGGAGCCACAGAGGGGTATCGGAACGACATTCGAGTCCGAGACCCGAGATGCTGAAGAACACAACAGGTGACCCTGGAAGCCATACCCGAACACTATGATGCAGCTACCAACCAATAACCAGTCAGTCAGACCGCCCCTCATTGATATGCCACTCGAATCCATCTCCAGCCGAATAACCGGAGCCCAGCGCAGCACCTCCCTCGCCAAAGTAATATCCAGTCTATACACAGTCGGATCATCCACCGACAATGAAATTAGTGATCAGTTGTGTCGGACATTGGATTTGGTCCGACGAAAGCATCACGTAGAAGTATATGAAGTCACTATAACTCTTTCTTACCAAGAAATGTTTTTGTGAATTCTAGTTTTAAATAGATAAAAAGTCAAGAGCATATTCCATTTGGATTCTGAATCAATGTCAGCATCAGGTCTCAGAAGCATAGTTCTAACAGTGCCCTAGAATGACTATTAGTGATAGCTACCAGCTAGTAGAAGAGAAGAAGTCATATCTGATAGTAGCCATAAGGAAATGTCATCTCTATTATAGACAGAATCACTTATGCGAACTTAGCCATATCTTCAATATATATGATTGCTTTTAGTTAAGATCTGAGGAAAAGACTTTGTTTCTTTACCACTATTATAAGCATCTATGAATAGTTAGTCTAGTCTAGATCTTTGCTATTTCTAAAGACAAACAGAGGTCTAACATCATAGGTTTTCACCTAAGTGTCTTTGCTTAGTTCATGTCCAATCTTAGCCTTATATATCAGATCCCATAATTTCTATAATAAGTGAAGTAAGGATTTCTATTTCAATCCTGAATTATAATGACTATCTTTGCCCTATCACTGTCTACAGCACTATAAGAAGAAGGCCTTAAGAAAGCATATCATTATTTCTGTATTAGAGAGTTAGCACGAACATTTAACTACACATAAGGATGAGATGGTGAATGGGAGGCCAGAAATGGCTGCTTTTGACGCCGTTCTAGGCCGCTCACTCACTGTAGGCAGTCTTAGCATCATGTGTACAAAGCCCACAGATCACCTGATTTACTGTCGCCCATGTCTCACATTGGCTGTGCCTGGTGCCTGGGTCCATCATTCCAGCCTATGTCCATCTGTGCTGCAGCCGCTGTAGGGCCCCATGTTCACTCACCCGTTATCACCCTCCTGGAGGAGTGAGGGAGCCAAAAATGGCTCCCCTGTTGGAAAACTGTCCTTCTCTGGGTTTCCATAAATATTGACTGCTATGGCCCCCGATCGATCTGCCTTCTCTCTTCAGCAGTCTTTCTATCAGTCTTGGGTTGATCTCTAAGCGCTCGATCACCCAAGTGCAAAGAGAATCAGTCTCTTCTATACCCTCTACCTTCAACCTGTCTTTGTTCTCTTGTCCCCTCTTTGACTCCATAGCATTCAGTTGCTATGCCTTCTCATGTCCTGTTCTGTCCAACAAGAAGAGCAACACTAGCTCAGGCTTGCCTGCAATATTCTTGAATAACACTTCCAACACTGACTCATCCACCACATCCAGCAACTCTGACGCCAGCAGCGAATTTGAGTCTGAGTCTGATGAGAAGTCCAAAGATGAACTGGACCCTGATGGTGAAGAGGAAGAACTCCCACCAGATTAGTTTCTTCAGCAGGCTAAGTCTCCGAATATGTCTCAGCTCTGGCAGAAATGCTACAGTCCAAAAACACAAGAGAGATTGGACAAGGCGCAAGATCTCTAGGAGAGATGAGACATGGCTCAAGTATCCCAGTTATGCCACTAAGTTCACTGATTGTTCTAGGTTCTGCAAAGATATAAAGTATAATTTACTATAGGATGATCCGGCTAGCAGCGCCTCAGATCCCGCTCCCATTGAACGGTCCTCCTGCAGCCCCCGGCCGCCTACCACAGACCGCCATCCCCCTTCCCCTTGCGGTATAGCGCACTCATTCTGTTTCCACGGATAATCTCAGAACTTTTTCCTTCTCGCCTAGTGGACCGTGATTAAAAAGGAAGCAAATTCTCACCAAAGAGCTTAGCGACTGTGTGAACCCATTGTCACTATGAGCATCGACCTAGGGTTTTAACTGTATCGGGACTTGGAACCATGGAAACATGCGCTCATCCCTGTCCTCACCCGCACCAGCTGTGACTGCCTCGTCAGTATGACTTCCGAGGAAAGGCCGACCTACGCTCGAAACAACATCAGCTTCTTCGGAAGCTGCTACCTGCTGTAAGTAATCCCGAACACATCCCTCTCGTTGAGACAACTGAACCAACTATGGCTGATCCAGATGCCGACCGAAAGGTGATGCCTCCTCCCCTCTCACCAGCGATGAGAAAACGCTCTTTTGGAACCGTTTCGCCCTCAAACCGGAGCAAACCTCCCTCTTCTGAGATCGACAAGTCCCCTTCACCTGGCCAGATCAGATCCTCGTCGGCTATGTCTGAGACACCAAGCCAGTATACGAAGTCCGACGTGTTCTCGGCAGCTACAAAACTAGAGATCAAACGACTCTCAGGAGACTCCTGTTGGGCATGCGAAACCGAGTCTCCTCAGATCGCGTATGTAATTGCGAAGGAGGACAAACAAGTAGGCCATTGTTTTCCTCCTGTCTGTTATGGGATGTAGATGACCTAACAGCTGGAGAGATACCCCTCTGGTCTACGGAAGGCCTCCTTACCTTTTCTTTGACCTCCGCGGCAAATGGGATCCCCCTATGCCCAACCTGCCACGTGGAGTTTGACCGATTTGATGATCCGGGATTCGTGTTCATCCCCGCCGATTTACAGTATTTCATCGACTTCGAATTGAAGGATAGTGAGAAGAGAGCGTTGGCAGCAAGAGAGGGGAACATTCTTCCCCGAGAAGTCCCAACAAGTACCTTGTATAGGGACCATTTATTCGAGCAAGGAATTATCTCGGATAGGGCGACTAGTGGCCTTTACCAACCAATTTTCTTGAAAAAGTACCTACTCGGCGGACGGTTCTCCCCTGAGGAGTTCGGCTTAGCGGAACCAAAGCACTGGCATGGAGCTCCATTAGCGACCCTACGACGAGGCATTTTAGCCCTGGGCAGTGGTAGAATCTGCGGGATTAACCTAGCGACAGTCACTCAACTGGAAATGCTACGAAACCTATACTTTCGGGGCTATAGAGACTGCTCGCCGGGAGTCGGCAATAAACCGGCCCAATTAGATCTTCCTAGCGGGAAAAGACAAAGAGATGATGATAAGCATAGTGAACCGAACAAGAGGACTAAGAGAAAAGATTCGGCCGGGATGCATGAACCTGGAAACACGGGCGGGCATCACTTAAATGCCCAAACATATAGCCGTCCTGCTCTCCAACGTCCACAGGAAAAATGGAATATAGGGCCTCAGTTCACCACGGAAGAGATCGTTAAACGCTACGGTTATCTCCTTCCTTGTGACTAAAGACTTGCTTTGGTAGCATCTTCTCCGGTCGTCCTTATTTTTACCCTCTCGATTGTATCAGACTATTTCTACTGCGGATGGACTTGGCAATCCTTGCATCGATTTTCCTGTTTTGTCCAGACTCTGAAATCCACTGTTTGCAATTGCTTAAAGCATGACAGCCAACAATAGTAATATTATGACAGGCTCTTACCAGAGAGCTAAGCCCCTCGCAACCATTCTCTTTTCGCCAATGTAGTTCTTAATGTATGATATACCTAGGGTTATGTGGCCTTATCGCACCCTACCCTCTTCATCCTGCTGACGACCGTCTGCCGAGCTTGATAAGATTCTCTTCTTTTATGCCACGGCTAATCTCGGCCGCCTTAGAAACACTGGCTATATCCCCGAGCGCCAGAGGCGTGAGGACTAGGTCCACCATAAATAGTGACTGTTTTTCTTTGAGCTGAGCATTCCTAAATGCCGGTGGTCGCATTACTAGGGGTCGGCACAAACACATTTCGCAAAATTTTGAGATATTCGCATTCGCATTCGTAGTCCATAGACCTCTACGAATATTGCCCACCCCCAATATAGACTACCACCCAATAAGAGAAGGCGTATCACGTGCAGTTTGTTTATCCAAGTCGCGTCTGGATCTGACCTGTTCATTTCAAGCCCCTGCCAGTTTCAGAGCCCACAATGATGAGTGATAGTTCACTATAGCAATTTCTGATACAATTGCTGATAACGCTTGCAATATATGCCTATACTAGCCATCAACCCATTCTTAGCTGTTTCTCTATTAGAGAGTGGATCATGACATGATTTTCACAGTTACGGTCTGGCCTTGACCACAAGATAAAGCATCAACCTAGGCCAGAGGGATATACAGCATTTTTGCTGTTGGCCCACGTCACCAAGCTATGCCTTTAAATATTCTTTGCTAGGTAAAGAGGAACCAGAGACACAATAGTGGCAACAACTAAGCACCACTATAGTCATGATCAGGCAACCGGGAGTCAGTTTATGATACCGGGGCTGTGCAATACAACCTCAGATAGGGCAGACAAGGATAATTTGCAGCATCAAGGATATATTGGCACTTTGCAGATGTGAGGGAGACCCGCAGAATCAGAGATAAGAAGAGATACAGGCACAGAGAGACCTATATGGCTTTATAGCATAATGCAGTCACTCCCCTAGGAAAGAAGTAGAATTATCAAGACAAAAGAACATGATGCCGCCACAAGCTGTACTCAAGTGATTACACTCCTGGGCAACAGGCATTGCAAGCTAAGTGTCTGTCGCGTCGAGCGGCATCTCTGGTAAAATGAAAGGGGCAGTGCATGAGGCTGAAGGCCCAGGCGTAATCTCCGGTGGGGGCCGGGGGCAATGAAGGAGGCGGCGATGAGTGCAAGATAGACAGAACGGAGAGACGGGAGAAGAGGAAGAGAGTTAGGAAGGGCGAGGTCGGGTCTTTTATGTCCAGTTAAATAGACATTTATTCCCGGTATAGATAAGTAGTAGCGTCTTTTACCGATAAGATTAGCAATAGAGGATCCTAGCAATTCACTAGAAATGGCAGATAGACATGGAGAAGCACCACTATACACACCAGACAAGCTCGACCGAGAACGCCCCAGCGCCCGGCAGTGAAGTCCAGCAACTAGTAAGAGCGATAGATGACTATTGAGGTCCCGGCTGACCAGCCACACTCAGAAGCACAACACCAAAAAGGATAAATTAGCTGTGGAGCCCTTCCAGTCTGTGCTCGAGACCTTAAAGCAGATTGAAGAAGAAGAAGATCTTAAGCTTGCATTCTAGGCTGCACGTCTAGTGGGACTCTATCGGCGCTTATAGGAGTCTTGTGTCTCTAAACATGTAGATAGTCAGCAGATTGAAGCGGCAAATGAAAAGCTACGGGCCGGAAATATTCGGCTGTGTAACGAAGGAAACCACTTGAAACATCACTAAGATAAGTAGGTAGCTCGCTTACATGCTATTGACAATATACTAGATAAAGTTCGAGGGGGCCTTATTAGTGTATGTACTTGAAGTTTGGAGCGATCGGTCGGCTAATGACTTGGCTAATTTAGTAGGAGATAGAATTCCCAGATGTTAGTCTTTACTAATGATTAGATTAAAGCACTATAATGTTGCAAGCTTAGTGTGCGGCGATAGTAAGCTTATAATAGCCTATTAATAAATCCCTTAAGCCTATACCCTAGAACTCGTTGTCTACCACGTGGGTTAATAAGCTAAATGCTCGCCGACTAGGCTTCTAGGACTTCGTATAGCATAATACGATAAGATCGTCTAGACTATAAGGGTGAGTAGTTAGAGCTAGATGAGTTAGAAAGGGTAGCGAATAATAAACCGAGGGGGTGAGGATTTACCTCTAGCAATAGCAGCTAGTAGGATAGTGTTACGCACTGCAAACTGGTCACAGTTAGTGTTAGAGGGGTCACGGGTTATACTTGCCTGAATCCTCAGTCCTCCAACGTCAACGATCTGTCTCTCAATCGTACTGTTGCCAACAGGCTTTATTGCAGATGCTACCGGAGCAGATTGATCTTCTTAAGATATTATTCATATGGCCTACCTCTCTTTCTCTAGAGGCGGAGTGGCAAAGAAGGAACGCCGCTGTGGATGCGATTTCCCGATACTGTTGTTTCCTCGAAGGCGGACCATTGCGTGGGCGGCGTAAACGTACCGCACCGACTGACGGGTTTGAAGAAAAGCAGCCAGCCAAATTGATAACTAGCCAGCCTAAGTCCAGAAACTCCAGAAATCCATGAACTGTCGCCTCAGGAACTCCTCCTACGAACAGCCGAGGAACATATCAGGAAGGCCGAAAAACCACAACGATGTTTTCAGTGCTTCGGTGATACTACCCTGCCAGTGTACACTCGGGCCAAGAAGTGGAGCGAGTACAAGTCAACTTCGAGACACTTCCGAGAAGCGCATTTGGATGATCGGCGTTGCAACGTGTGTGGCGAGGATATTTTACATGAGATGCACCTGAAGAGACACGCAGAAGAGGTCCACCGTCTTTGCACACAACGACCAGGTTATAGCCCGGCCAAGCGGCCGCGGTCTTGATTGTCCTTTGAAACAGCAAACTTTCAGTCTTAATATTGCCACACAATATTGCCGACCAGCTGTCGCTTCTGTTTTCCATTCATGTTTTACAACTTTGTTTCCATACTAATCCAGATGAGCTGCTAGAAGGGGGTCAATTAGAGTCTTGTGGCTGAAAGCTAAGGATTGCTTCTACGGTCCCAACCACCTGCAAATCACACGCAAATTTTGGTGCGGCAAAAGAGTGCCGCTTAACTGCTTAGAACCGCTCACTCTACATTATAAAGCATCAGTTAGCGGACAAGCGTAAAGATCTTGTAAATTTTATGTCCAGGAATCATTGGCCTACCTTGCTGACGTAGAACAGGCTGAACGAGGTTGGAATATGCTGCAATATCCATGCTTCGGAATGTTCCGGTTTTGCACTTTGACTTAGCCAGGTCTCCGATGTACGAGAGATATTGTCGGACGTCCGGACGGCACTTTATTACTTGATCTAGGATATGGCGTATGCTAAGATATCCGTCGATGTGCATGATGGTTCTCCTCAAACCTAAGTTATTGGCCTCGATCTTAACATGGAGCTTATCAATCTCGGCTTCGGAACTTTTCGAAGATCTACCAAATCAAGTTATTACATGTCACATCTATGTATGATCCTGGTGACTTGGTCGTGCTAATCATGCCCGACATCCAAACTAAGTCTTAAAATAGGCATTATTCCAACCGAAGACGTTGCCGAAGAACTACAAGAAGAGGAAGATCCGCGTATTGTTGAAGAACGACTATCTGACAGCGAGCAACAGCTACTTACGGAGTTGCATACGCAGAGGAATGACCGACGTATTCGATACTACGAACATCATCGAAGGGAATAGGAAGAGAGAGGCTAGAGAAGTGCCCGTGCCGAACCTAGGGTCTCTCCAGAAAGTAAGACGGTTCCCATGTCCATGTTCATATCCTGCCCCAGTGCCCGATGTAATGATCTCTGGGACGATCCGCTGCGTTTCGGGAACTCACACAATGGTTCCCAAGCCAATGAGTAGGTTGTGCCATGCCCGGTAACGCATGCTCCTGTATAGCCTAGTGATTTTTGAGAAACACCTTTTACTGTTGGCTCTTTCTATCTTATTGACGCCGTCGCGGTGTCCACAAGCAAAACATGGGATGTTGAGGTTGGGAGTGACACAGCGAGGGTCCATAATAAACGGTAATTTATGAATGGGGCCGGTAAGTGCGAAGCGGCCAGCGTTAACAAAAGAATCTGTCTTAATATAATGCAAATGTATTAGCAGAAACTCGAAACGGCCCTGGAGTAACTCAGATAATATCTATGCGCACTACATTCTTAAACGGAGCGAGCCGTATCTAGCAAGCCAAAGATTGCAATTTCGTGTACCTCTGCTCAACATGCGCAAAAGCTAAATTTACCATTGGTCCATCCAAAGGTCCATCCATTGTCCGCCTACTGGCTGAATATTGCGCATGCAGTTGCTAGCCTTCTGTCCTTTATCAGTTCGAATGCCGAATTTGGGGTATGTGGGCGACGCAAACAGACGTCTATAGACGTCTAGGATCTTCAACGCTGGCTTATCCTCAAAATCCGAGTCTGACGGCGCTTCAATAGCATCGAGACTCGCGACCCAGGTATTATCTTCAACTGTCGCCACGGGGAACCGTTTTTGAATAGTCGGGATCAGCGATTCCCAAGGGACCACTGTAGGGTTAACGAGATTAAAGAATGAAGCACCGGGTCCTGTTTCGCAGGTTCGACGTGATTCGGCAATTTCAAGGACAATCTGCGCAAGCGTATCCTAACATGTATGTGAGTTCTTATCCGTAGGCCCTCATGGTTCTGCCATACGTACAACGGGGATCCAATTGACCGGTACTTGGCCAAGGGTTTGCGGTATAAGTCCGATCGTTTTCGATGTTGC